CGTCCATGTATTAAATTATTCTTCCATGTATTTAATTATTCGTCCAGGTATTTAATTATTATTCCATGTATTTAATTATTCGTCCAGGTATTTAATTATTATTCCATATATTTAATTATTCGTCCATGCATTAAATTATTCTTCCAAGTATTTAATTATTCGTCCATGTATTTAATTATTCGTCCATGAATTTAATTATTCGTCCATGTATTTAATTATTCGTCCATGAATTTAATTATTCGTCCATGAATTTGATTATTCGTCCATGTATTTAATTATTCGTCCATTTACTAATCTATTCGTCCACGTATTTTTTCATCCATTTATTTCTTTATTCGTCCATTTTATCCATTTATCCTTCCAAATATTTATATTTTAATCCATTTATTTGTCTACACTTTTATCTTGATCTATAATCTACATTTTCTTCCGTCATTTTAATTTATTCCTTCATTTATTTATCCGACATTTTATTTTAAATTTATCCATCCTATTCATCCAGGATCTATTAACCCACTCTCTCTTTTCTCAATATATTTTAAAATTAAGTTCCATCATTTTTCTGTCCTTTTAGACAGGCGAAGAAAATTGAACAAAACCCCGAGCTGACAATTATGGATCAAATTTTTATAAAAACGGAATTTTTTTCAGGTATTTTGTTAGATTGAGACATAAGTCAAATTAAACGTAAACTGCCCCCTGTGGTTTGTACGAATTCTTTACGCCGTGCTGAATATTGGATCGAGGGGAGATACATTCCTAGTCAAATTATAGAAATTCTATAAATTATTTTTAAGTTAAAATATCAAAACCTTAATCTAAAATCCATCAACCAACCCCTACCCTCTTTGCCCCTTCTCGGGGTTTAAAAGTATAATAGTATAATAATAATATAAAAAATGGAAAAATGTCCTCGCGAAAAGACGACATTTACTCGGGAAACAGTTCTCGGGGATTTTCTGCCTCGATTCCCCCCTCGCAACCTCGTTCATTACTCGGACCAAACACACCTATACGAGATATACGTTGGGTACACACTGGGTACCAGATAGATAGATGGATAAATAGAAAGATATATAGATAGATAGGTAGATAGACAGAAATAGATAGATAAAAAAATAGGGTTCAACTATAAATTTCAAGATGTAGTTGGAAGCATTGAAATTCTGTTGTTTGCTAAATTACAGATTGTGTTATTAAGTTATATGTTTAAGGTTTCAAAAAGAGATAACTTATTCACTTATTCACTTATTCACTTATTCACTTATTCACTTATTCACTTATTCACTTATTCACTTATTCACTTATTCACTTATTCACTTATTTACTTATTCACTTATTTACTTATTCACTTATTCACTTATTCACTTATTCACTTATTCACTTATTTATTTATTCACTTACTCACTTATGCATTTACTTATTTTATTCACTTACTTACTTATCCACTTACACTATCCTTTTGTTTCGATTTACATCCATTTACTTTGCTTGTCTGTCTGTCTGTCTGTTTGTATCCAATAAACGTCATGTGGGACCTCGCGTTTACGAATGATCAAAATTTCAAAAATTTGTGCTTTAAGTTTTTTAATTTTTGAAAATGCGCTAAAAAATATTATGAAATCCGCAAACTTTTTTTATTTTTTTATACTGTACAAAGAGAAGATGCTCACAGATAAAGCCACAGTTAAAAGTTTGAATAGAAGATGGGCGCAAAGCGCCCGAAAAGCCTAGTATTTAAGTTTCATTACAATTTATTTGATGGATTTAGAATGATAGATCAAAAATTAAATGAATATACTTCGATATTAATTTGGTTTAGCAATTTGAGTGAGATATATATTTATATAAAGCTTTAAGTATCTATGTATCTATGTATCTTGTATCTATGTATATGTATCTATGTATGTATGAGTGTGTTTGCGTAAGAATAATACAGTAAATATTTACCTATATCTGAACATGATACATCCATTGTAATTGATAATTAATAAATATTAGAAAATATCCGATATCAGTGGTTTTTGTTTCTTTCTCATTGGCTCTCCGTACTTAATTATCGATAAGTGAGATATCTTTGCTTTCTGTCTTTAAAATCTAAATTCTGCGTTGCATAAACTTCTGCAGCATAGTTTTTTAAATTAAAGATAGAATTGTTTTTTTTTTAAATAAATCCCTTTAAACGTATATCTAATTAAGTAAAAATACTAAATTGTCCTGATTTATATCATATTATTTTGAATGTTTTCAAAATGAGGGGAAAAAAGATAAGGATAAATGTAAATGTAAAATTGTGTGAAGGTTTACTTTACATTTTGCAAATTTTGTTTTTTATTCGATATTTTCATATTATTCAATTTTCGAATAATATTTATATTAAACTAGCCTCAGGAAGCCGGTGGAAAATAACATTTTAATAAAGTATCCGAATATCGCAGCTTCGGGATGTATGACAATCGGGATTTATGATATTCAGGATATATGATATTCAGGATATATGATATTCAGGATATATGATATTCAGGATATATGATATTCAGGATATATGATATTCGGGATATATGATATTCAGGATATATGATATTCGGGAGATATGATATTCAGGATATTTTAGATTTTCTAGATAAGGTTAATTATACAAGATAATATTTATTTTATACATAATATAATTATACTCCATTAATACCCATTAATAAATATGAAAACTGAGAAGCTGTTCTGATTATTGCTTTATTAGTTAATATAATTATATATATATGCAGATTATTTGTATAGAATTATCTAGAGCAATGGACGCTATGTATGTGTCACTGTCCTTCATGTTAACTGGCAATACAAATCCAGAGAGGAAGTACAATATGAACGTATTAAATGGAGTGACCGGCAATGTATTGTAGTTAAACTTAGAATGTAGTACTGTGGAGAATTTTTTATAGAATCATTTGAGACGTATGAGACGTTTTTTCGGTGCATATTTGTTCAGCAAGAGCGATGATACAATCTTTAAAATTCTAACAGATTGTTTATTTTTGAGGCGTGATTTTGAGAATCGGGTTTTAAAAAATTATTTAATAACGACGACGAAAAATGTAGTAAAAATTCTACAGTAAACTAATTAGTTGTTTAGAAACAGGTTGAGAAAATAAATATTAACTTTTATCATCTAAAATATTCAATTTTATTTAGCTATTAGTTTCTGTAATATTTCATTGTTAACAAACATTTTCTGTAGATTTATTGGGATTTTCATTGAAAAGACGACATTGGAAGAATATTTTAGAAATCTGCGAACAAATTCATAAAAAATATGAAATTCAATTTAATGATGAAAAAGAAATAACTGATTCTTACATTTATTTATTGTGAACATTTCTAATGAGCATTATGTTCCTAAACATCTCAGTAGTTTTCTGTAGATTTAAAAAAAAAATTTTTCGTGGTTAAAAAAATCAATTCTTTAAACTTAACCACCCAAATGAATGATATTGAACGTCGACCTTGCGCTCTAACTTAGTAAAACGTTTTCTGTGTCTTAAATGAATCCAAAAAAAAATTCTTCACAATACTACATTATCAGTTTAACTATAACCAACCATACATTGCCGGTCACTCCCTTTAATCACATATAAGTATGTGCTAATAATGAGTGCGCACATTTATTTTGAATGATCCCGATTACCAAACTAAATCTATTTATCTTTGTATTGTCCCGATTACCGAACCTAAATCTATTTAACTTTGGATGGTACCAAACATAAATCTATTTACAAGGTTACCCACAAATGATGAGACTATAAAAACGACCCTTCAAATATGTCGATCCCAAGTTTAAAGTACGCTTTCTGAATGGGAGCTTTAAATGGATTATCTAATGATTGGCAAAGAAATAGAGAAGTTTATCGTTGCATGGAATCATAATTATAAGGAAACAGAGAGTATGAATTCCAAACAGTCCTCTGTGAGTAACCCTGTACCTTTGAATTGTCCCACTTACCAAATCTTAATTTATTTTCCTTTAGAAGGTCCCAAACCTAGCCCTATTTACCATTGAATGACCGTGATTAACGAACCTAAATCTATTCACCTTTGAATAGCCCCGACTGACAAACCTAAATTTATTTACCTTTGGATGGTCCCGATTAGCGAACCTAAATCTATTTACCTTTGGATGGTCCCGATTAGCGAACCTAAATCTATTTACCTTTGGATGGTCCCGATTAGCGAACCTAAATCTATTTACCTTTGGATGGTCCCGATTAGCGAACCTAAATCTATTTACCTTTGGATGGTCCCGATTAGCGAACCTAAATCTATTTACCTTTGGATCGTCCCGATTAACGAACCTAAATCTATTTACCTTTGGATCGTCCCGATTAGCGAACCTAAATCTATTTACCTTTGAATATCCCTGACTGACAAACCTTAATTTATTTACCTTTGGATGGTCCTGATTAGCGAACCTAAATCTGTTTACCTACCTTTGGATGGTCCCGATTAGTGAACTTAAATCTATTTACCTTTGGATGGTCCCGATTAACGAACCTAAATCTATTTACCTTTGGATGGTCCGATTAGTGAACCTGAATTTATTACCCTTTGTATGGTCCCGATTAGCGAACCTAAATCTATTTACCTTTGGATGGTCCCGATTACCGAACCTAAATCTATCTAACTGTGGATGGTCCCGATTAGAGAACCTAAATCTATTTACCTTTGGATCGTCCCGATTAACTAACCTAAATCTATTTACCTTCGGTTCATCCCGATTAGCGAACCTAAATCTATTTACCTTTGGATGGTCCCGATTAGTGAACCTGAATTTATTACCCTTTGGATGGTCCCGATTGGCGAACCTAAATCTATTTACCTTTGGATGGTCCCGATTACCGAACCTAAATCTATCTAACTGGGGATGGTCCCGATTATAGAACCTAAATCTATTTACCTTTGGATCGTCCCGATTAACTAACCTAAATCTATTTACCTTCGGTTCATCCCGATTAGCGAACCTAAATATATTTACCGTTGAATAGCCCCGACTGACAACCCCAAATTTATTTACCTTTGGATGGTCCTGATTAGCGAAGCTAAATCTATTTACCTTTGAATAGCCCCGACTGACAAACCTTAATTTATTTACCTTTGGATGGTCCTGATTAGCGAACCTAAATCTGTTTACCTAATAGCCCCGACTGACAAACCTTAATTTATTTACCTTTGGATGGTCCTGATTAGCGAACCTAAATCTATTTACCTTTGGATGGTCCCGATTAGCGAACCTAAATATATTTACCTTTGGATGGTCCCGATTACCGAACCTAAATCTATCTACCTTTGGATGGTCCCGATTAGTGAACCTAAATCTATTTACCTTTGGATGGTCCCGATTAACGAACCTTAATCTATTTACCTTTGGATCGTCCCGATTAGCGAACCTAAATCTATTTACCTTTGGATGGTCCCTATTAGCGAACCTAAATCTATTTACCTTTGGATGGTCCCGATTACCGAACCTAAATCTATCTACCTTTGGATGGTCCCGATTAACGAACCTTAATCTATTTACCTTTGGATCGTCCCGATTAGCGAACCTAAATCTATTTACCTTTGGATGGTCCCGATTAGCGAACCTTACCTTTGGATGGTCCCGATTAGCGAACCTGAATCTATTACCCTTTGAATGTCCCGATTAGCGAACCTAAATCTATTTACCTTTGGATGGTCCCGATTAGCGAACCTGAATCTATTACCCTTTGAATGATCCCGATTAACGAACCTAAATCTATTTACCTTTGTATGGTCCCGATTAGTGAACCTAAATCTATTTACCTTTGGATGGTCCCGATTAACAAACCTAAATCTATTTACCTTTGGATGGTCCCGATTAGCGAAACTAAGTCTATTTACCTTAGGATGGTCCCAATTAGCAAACCTAAATCTATTTACCTTTGGATGGTCCCGAACGGGTACTTGAACCTTGACGGTGAGTCGGAATGGTTTCTGGTTGAAAACATCGATGAAATGCTGAAAAAAAAATTTTAATTCTCCGCCATAAAGTTTCCATTTAAGCTTGGACAGGTCTAGGAACTGGGTAGGTTTTTCCAATACTGGATTGATATATTCAACCAATATATAGAATATATAGATGTCAATTCAATCCTTCTCAAAACCTTTCAACATATAAACAATCAGATGATATACATTCAGCAGTCAGAAATACTGGATTGATATATTCAACCAATATATAGAATATATAGATGTCAATTCAATCCTTCTCAAAACCTTTCAACATATAAACAATCAGATGATATACATTCAGCAGTCAGAAATACTGGATTGATATATTCAAC